AAAATCCAGTCTGACAGTTTCTGCCTTGTGTTTGCATTGTTTAATCCATTCACATTTAATGTCATTATTGATATAGTTGGATATATTTCCATTTTATACTTTTTCCGTATCATTTGTTTGTTCTTCTGTTCATCCTTTGCTGCTTTCCTTTGCAATTAGTGAAAATTTTATAAAGTAACATTTCAATTCTTTCAATTATTTTTTCACTATGTTTTTTGAGTAATTTCCTTAGTAGTTGTTTTAGGACTTGCAATGTGCTTCACTTATCAAATCTACTCAACTTATTAAAATCTACCTCAGTTTAATGCTAAATTAATTTCAGTGAGATATAAAAACTTTATTCCTATATATCGGTATTGTCTATTATTCCTCTTTTTTCTATTATTATACATAGTACATCTACATGTTATAGACCCAGCAATACATTATCATACTTATTACTTTATGTAATGTTTTGTCTTTTAAATAAACTAAGAGAAGAATGGACAGCAAGTATGTATTTTTAGCCCTTGTTATACTAACCATTGTATTTACCATTTCTGGTTTTCTTCATTTGTTCCTATGTATTTGAGTTACCATCTAGTGTCATTTATTTAGAAGAACACAGATTTGCTCACTCCCACCTTCTTTGTGCTATTATTGACAAATATATTATATTTCTCTGTGTTATAGGCCCAAACATACAAAAAAGTATATACATATCATTTTGTACAGTTGTTCTTTAAGTCAGCTAATGGAAGAAAGGAGAAGAAACATGCATTTATGCCATTTCTTAATTCCATAATTGTCTTTATAAGCACTTTTAAAATATGGATTCGAATTTCTGTCTGGGGTCAATTGCTTGTGACTGAACAACTTCCTTTAGGATTTCCTGTAGAGCAGGTCAGCTAGCAACATTTTCTTAAAATTGTTATGTGGTAATGTTCTTATTTTGCCTTTATTGTTTAAACATAGCTCTGCTGGACATAGGATTCTTGGGGATAGTTTTCAGTTTGTTTGTTTTTGTTTTTTCTTTCAGCACTTCATACATGTCATTCCTCTGCTTTCTGGCTTCTATTGTTTCTAATAAGAAGTCAGTTGTCAACCTACTGGGATTCTTTTGTAGGTTATGAGTGTTTTTCTCTTTCTTATTTCAAGAGATTTTTTCCTTGTCTTTGGCTTTCAGCAAATTTGCTGATATGTTTATGTATAAATGTCTTTGTGTTTATCCTGCCAGGTGTACGTTAAGCCCCCTTGATGTGTAGGTTAATATTTTTCATCATATTTAGGAAGTTTCTAGCCATTACTTCTTCAAAAATTTTTCTGTTCCTTTTTCTACTTTCTATTTGGCATACCCATTATGGGAATGTTGATACACCTAATGGTGTCCCAAATTCCCCTGAGACTTTGTTTTTCTTCATTAGTTTTCTTTTTGTTCTTCAGACTGCATTATCTCTTTCTGCCTATCTTCATGTTTGCTAATTCTTTCTTCACATCTACTATTGAGCTCCTCTACTGAATTTTTCATTTCAGTTATTGTACTTTTCAACTCCAGAACCTATATTTGGTTCCTTTTTAATAATCTGTATCTCATTATTCTCTGTTTGATAAGACATTGCCATAATACCTTTCTTCATTTCTTTAAGCATGGTTTCCTTTACTTTTAGAATATATTTGTAATGGTTACTTTAAAGCTTTTGTCTGTTACAACCGATGTCTGGTCACTTTCATAGTTTCTGTTGCCTGGTTTTTTTCCAATATGTGACACAAACTTTTATTTTTTTTGCATGTGTTGTAATTTTTTTTTTAACTGAACTCTGAACTTTTTTGATAATATATGTTGGTAACCGTGGGTACTATTCTCACCAAGGGAGTTGTTGCTGTTTGCTAGTTTATTGTTTAGTGACTTGCTGAGCAGTTTCAGTGAAGTCTTTCCCTTCCTGTGTGAAGTCTCAGAGGTTGTTCCTCAGAGGGTGCAGATGTGAGCATGGGCACAGTCATCCCTGGATGACAGTGATTTTTGCAGGGTTCTTGACTGTCTCTTTTCATGACTACATCCAGCTATTAAACTCCACTAAGTTTAATATTAATCCAGCTATTAAACTTGACTAATCTCTTATTTCTTATTGGTTTCAACAATGCCCTGGGGTGTGAATTTCTCCAAAAACTGATCCAATTAAAATATATGAGTAATTTGAAGTCAGGGTTTAAGCTTCATCTTTACCCCAGGAGGGCTCTTCGTAGCTGCCTTTTTCCTTGGTTCTCTTCAGTAAACTACCTAGTATATGGTTGGGTTTTTTTTGTTTGTTTGTTTGATTTTGAGACGGAATCTCGCTCTGTCGCCCAGGCTGGAGTGCAGTGGCCAGATCTCAGCTCACTGCAAGCTCCGCCTCCCGGGTTCACGCCGTTCTCCTGCCTCAGCCTCCAGAGTAGCTGGGACCACAGGCGCCCACCACCACGCCCGGCTAGTTTTTTGTATTTTTTTTTTTTAGTAGAGATGGTGGGGTTTCACCGTGTTAGCCACGATGGTCTCGATCTCCTGACCTCGTGATCCGCCCGTCTCGGCCTCCCAAAGTGCTGGGATTACAGGCTTGAGCCACCGCGCCCGGCCGCATATGGTTTGATTTATACCTGTAATGGAACTAGCTATTAGTCACCTCTTAATTGCTTTCCATCAAAACTTCCTTTTTTTTTTTTTTTTTTTTTTTTTTGAGATGGAGTTTCACTCTTGTTGCCCAGGCTGGAGTGCAATGGTGCAATCTCAGCTCACTGCAACCTCCCCTTCCCGGGTTCAAATGATTCTCCTGCCTCAGCCTCCCGAGTAGCTAAGATTATAGGTATGCGCCACCATGCCTAGCTAATTTTGTATTTTTAGTAGAGACAGGGTTTCTCCATGTTGGTCAGGCTGGTCTTGAACTCCTGACCTCAGGTGATCCACCCGCCTTGGCCTCCCAAAGTGCTGGGATTACAGGTGTGAGCCACTGCACCTGGTCTGTTTTTTACAGCATCCTTAGGCTTTAACTTCCTCCATCCTCTGTTTCAAATTAAGTCAATTAAATTGGGAAGAGCAGAGATGTTCTCTGTCTTATGGCCCAACTCTCCCCCTGGGCAAAACCTCTGAGCTGGGATAATGGAATGCTTTTCTGCTTGAGGGCTGGATGTTCAGTGGAGGACAGTAGTCTCTGGTCTTCTTGGCTTGCCTCTTCAAGCATAAAACCCTTTCCCTATGAATGAGCCAGGGCGCAGTCCCCAGTATAGCACTTCATGCCCAAGGCAGCCTTCACCTTATGAGTAGGAGCTAAGTCGAAGAAGGGACCCAAAGTCATAGCTATACTTACCCAAAACATAACCTCTGCAAAAGGTTGCTAAGGATGGGATGAGAAATGCTAACCTTCTTCCCCTTATAGAAATATACCTTAGCCCTTGATTGGAAGCTGGGGGAAAAGGGAGTCTAATATTTTTGGCTGAACCTGCCTAGAGTAACATTCTGTCACACTGGCCTGTGGGAAGGGAGGAGAGGATGTGGACCATGGATTTGACTGTTCTTAACAAGTCTAATAGATTTCCTTGAATAAATGTTTCTTCATTTGCTGTATGCCCTTAGGATCCGCTATGGTTTGAATGTGTTTCCCACATTTCATGTGTTGGGAACAGAACCCCCAATGTGTCAGTATTGAAAGGTAGGGCATTTAAGAGGTGATGGGATGCTGAGGGCTCTGCTTTCATGAATGGATTAATCCATTGATTAATGGATTGATGAGTTAACATGGAGGTGGAACTGGTAGCTTTATAAGAAGAGGGAAAGCAACCTGAGTAAGCATGTTAGCATGAGATTAAGCATGTCAGCTCTCTCACCAGGTGATGTTCTGTGCTGCCTTCAGACACTGTAGAAAGCCCCCACCAGGAGTAAGCCCTCACCAGATGCTGAGTCACGCCTTTGGACTACCCAGTCTCCATAATTGCAATAAATAAATTGCTTTTCTTTATATAAATTACCCAGTTTTAGGTATTCCGTTATAAGCAACAGAAAATGGACTAAGGCAGGATCATTACTAAAGGCTTTAAGTGGTTATATTTTGAAATAACTTTCACCAGTTTCACTGGGGTACAGGTTTACAGACCTGTTAAACTGTTATTCTGGAAGTCTCAAAATTATTCCATATCAAGTCTTACTGATTTTTTCTCTCTCCTTCATAAAACAGAGTCAGTTCTTATTATTCTTTCTATATGTTGAACATTCTGTGGTTGTAACAAATCATATTTGTTTGATCTCAGTGTGGCTTCAGTTTTTCATGAGGTGTCTGATTCACCTCATGAAAAAACAAGTTATGTAATCCTAATTTCTTAATCTATAGAAAACAGAAATCAATGTGTTCTGAAATAACTGGACAAAAATGTCTTGAAAATTATGCCAAATTTCTGCTCTAACATGTTTGGATCAGTTTCCTGAAACTACTTGGTCTAGTCAAGATGACTAAAGAGCATTAATATCTGCAACATTTATCATGAAAACATAGACCGTGGGGTCCAGTGAGTTTCTTAGGAAAAGTCCTTTTAAATCTTGCTGAACTTCTTAGCTCCCATTCCCTTCAAAGGGCATTTATCATTACAAACTCATTACTGTTATGTTTAAAAGCTTTTTTACTCTCTTGAGATGATTTTCTTCTTAAGGATCCAGGTGATAAAATCATTTTTCTGTGTTAAATGCTTTAAGTTGTCCTTCAAAGTATTAAAGTACACATCATAGCATGTTAATTCATAGTCTCTCTACCATCTGAGTGCCTTTTTCCTCTCCTCTGGTCCTCACTCTTCTTTCTCTGGTGAATTATTCATTACTCACAACTTATCAAATTATAAGTGAGCACTGAAGTGCTCTTCAAGAAGTCTCTTAGAAATGACTCAAACTTTCTGTTTTAGCATCTTATAATATTATCCCTCAATTCAGCTTTTATGAAGCCACCCAGGCTAAAACAGATGCCTAAAGGGTATCTGCCTCTATAATTTTTGTTTTGAAAATACAGGATATAGTGTCCAAGGAATTATCTGGGCAATCTGAAGATGAAGATGTACAAAACGAAAGAAAGAGAATCCTGGAGCAGTCTCAGGAGTTGCTGGATTCTATAGTACTTATTAAAGAACTCATAAAGGTAATATAATTCAATGGCTAACATACACTGGCTTCATTTCTACTTACAAGTGTGCCACTGGTGCCAAGGGCTCACTGTGGTTCTTTGGGCTCTATATGTATTCTCCCAGTAGAACAGAAGAGTTATCATGAAACTGTCTCAAGTAGTGATCCATAGGGGTCTGAGATATTACTAATTGTACTTTACCTATAAGTATTCTTTACTGAATTGTGTTTCCTGGATTTTTTTTTAGATATATTTTAAGTGCCCAGCCATTCTGGCTGTAAAAAATATCTCCCTTGCAATCCAAAAGGGGGAGTGCTTTGGATTGCTTGGATTCAATGGAGCTGGAAAAACAACTACTTTCCAAATTTTGACTGGGGAAGCGAGCCCTACCTCTGGAGATGTGTTGATTGATGGCTTTAGCATCACAAAAGATATCCTACAGGTAAGAGGCTGTTACAGTCTAAGATGTGAGAAGCATAATGAATGACTCAGGTTCAGGTAACAGGTAGATGGCTAGGGAAGGGAGATGGGAAATATGGTATGTATTGATATTTATTTTGTTGATGCCGTCAATGGATTCTGGAGAGGGAAATAAACTTTTGAAGAGTGAAGCAGTAAGAGCAGAATCTAAAACAAGAGTGTCTTCTGTGTTCTTTGTTAAAGTAAAAGGCAAGTTCTTTCAACATTACATCTAACATATGCCAGACAAGGTATGGTAAAGGTGTAAGAATGGTAAGGCTGGGCAGAAGGAGAAGATGACCTGCAATTCAGTTGCAACTGAGGCCTTGCTCCATCTTACTGAGAGCTCTGCAGCAAGATGGCCTTTCACAAGTCCCCCAGGTGAAGCAAGGTCACTAGCCTTTGTATCTCTGCATCTGCCAGTCATTGGCCACACATGCCACCTGGAAGAGAGGGTGTAACCTTGGAAAGAAGCTAAGTGTGGGGAGAATTTCAAGAATAAGAGAATTAGCAAATGTGTCAAACGCCAGGAAGACTAAGGCAAGGTAAAGCCTGGATAATGTACATTGGCTTTAGTAAGCAGAACTTCATTGACGAGGTTGGCAAGAGCAATTGCACTAGGGTTAAGTGGATGGTAGTAACAAGACCGTGAATAGTGAATTCATTTCTCCTCACTTCATCACATCAGCCCACTATCACCATAGAAGTAGGAAAATGGAGTTGGCAGAGTCTGTATCCTGCGAGATAAACAGTAGTCTAGTTTATTAGTCCGTTCTCATCCTGATAAGTAAAGACATAACCGAGACTGGGTAATTTATAAAGGAAAGAGATTTAATTGACTTACAGTTTCACATGACTGGGGAGGCCTCACAATCACGGAGGAAGGCAAATGAGGAGCAAAGTCATGTCTCACATGGCGACAGGCAAGAAAGCTTGTACAGGGGAACTCCCATTAAAACCATCAGATCTCATGAGATGTATTCACTATCACAAGAACAACACAGGAAAGGCCTGCCCCCGTGATTCAATTACCTCCCCTGAGTCCCTCCCATGACAAGTGGAAGTTATGGGAGCTACAATTCAAGATGAGATTTGGGTGGGGACACAGCCAAAGCATATCATCTGGTAACCAGAAGTGAAGCTAAAAATGTGGATTATACTTTGAAGAAAGTTAGCTGTGAGGCAAAATAAAGAATGAAAATTCACCCAGATTTGTGATAAGGACAGAAAATATTTCATAGGGTGAATAACTGAAGCACATTTATACTAGAAGGGGAGGAGTTAAAGAAACAGAGGAGGGAGTGATACATGATGGCAGGAGGTGATCTGTTCCTGCCAGGTGGTCCTTGCAAAAAAGTCGGGGGACATGAGGTCTCCCCTAACTATCTTTGTTCATACCATTTGTCCCCTTGGGGAACATAAGGGTGGCATAAAACAGTCCAGTCTCCTTACTGTGAGTAATGGAGAAAAAGTTTAAGTGAATCTGGTACCAAGGAGCAAAAGCTAAATTGGGAACTAAAAAGACAGTTAATACAAAATGTCATATTTTAAAAAAGAACAGGCATATGGGCAAAATGTCAGCCTTTTGCAAGGACTGATTCAAAGTTCAGTAAATCTGAGGGAACTCTTTCAAGCCTCAGAGAATCTCTCCAAGTTTGCTATTCTAGAACATTTATCATATTTTATGTAACAGATGGTAATATTTTCATTTATTCAGACCTTAAAAATTTTTACATTGTCTTTCTATTGTGGCAAAAAATGTATAATATAAAAATTGAAAAATGCATAATATGAAAAAGTTCATCTTCAGAACTTTTTCCTTAAATTAAATATCTCTACTCATTAAACAACAACTCCTCATCCCTTCATTTACTCCTTTGAATTTGACTATACTAGGTACCTCATGTAAGTAGAGTCATATAATATTTTCCTTGTATATCTGATATACTTCACCTAGCACAATACCTTCAAGGTTCACCTATGTATTTGAATTTCATTCAGTTTGGTTGGGCACAGTGGCTCATGCCTGTAATCCCAGCACTTTGAGAGGCCAAGGTGGGAGGATCACTTGAGGTCAGGAGTTTAAGACTAGGCTGGCCAACATGGTGAAACCCCATCTCTACTAAAAATACTAAAATTAGCCAGGTGTGGTGGTGTGTGCCTACAATCCCAACTATTTGAGAGGCTGAGGCAGGAGAATTGCTTGAACCAAGGAGGTAAAAGTTACAGTGAGCCAAGATTGCACCATTGCACTCCAGCCCAGCCTGGGCAACAAGAGCGAAGCTCTGTCTAAAAAAAAAAAAAAAAAAAAAAAAAATTCATTCCGTTTTATGGCTGATAATATTTCTTTGTATGAGTATACAACATTTTGCTTTTCCATTCATCCATTTATGCTACATTTGGGTTGTTTGTACCTTTTGACTCTTGCAAATAATGCATCAACATTGGTATACAAATATCTGAGCCCCTGCTATTGATTATCTGGGATACGTACCTACAGGTGGAATGCAGAATCATATAGTAATTCTATAATTATTTTCGTAAGAACTTCTATACTGTATTCCACAGCAGCTGCGTCATTTTACATTCCTACCAGCAATGCACAAGAGTTCCAATTTATCCACGTAATCACTAACTCTTCTTAATTTTTGTTTTAATAGTAGCCATCCTAATGACTGTGAGGTGGTATCCCCTTGTAGTTTTGATTTGCATTTCCCTAACAATTAGTGATATTGGGCATTTTTTTCATGTGCTTACTGGCCATTTGTATGTCTTCTTGGAGAAGTGCCTATATTAATCATTTGCACGATTTTAAATTGTGTTGTTTGGTTTCAGTTGCTGTTGAATTGGAGGAATCCTTTATATATTCTGGATATTAATTCATACATGATTTGTAAATATTTTTTCCCATTACATATAACATATGCCAGACAAGGTGCTATAAGGGTGTAAGGATGGCAAGACTGGGCAGAAGGAGAAGATGACCTGCAATTCAGTTGCACCTGAGGCCTTGCTCCATTTTACTGAGAGCTCTGCAGCAAGATGACCTTTCACAAGTCCCGCAATTGAAGCAAGGTTGCTAGCCTTTGTATCTCTGCATCTACCAGTCATTGGCTGCACATGCCACCTGGAAGAGAGGGTGTAACCTGAGAAAGAAGCTTTTTCTGCCTTTTCTGGTATCCTTTGGTGCACAAGTGTTTTAATATGAAGTTCATTTTATCGAATTTTTCTTTTGTTGCCTGTGATTTTGGTGTCCTATCCACAAAATTATTGTCAAATTCGATGTCATGAAGTTTTTCCTCTATTTTTTTTCTAAGAGCTTTATAGTTTAACATGTTTAGGTCTTTGATCCATTTTGAGTTTCGTATGGTATATAGTGTAAGGAAAGGATCCAACATCAATCTTATTCATGTGAATATCCAGTTTCCTCAACATCGTTTGTTGAAAAGTCTGTCCTTTATCTATTGAATGGTCTTGGCACCCATGTGTGATTAATTGATCATTTCCTGAGGATTTATTTCTGGATCTCTGTTCTCTTTTACGGATCTATATGTGTGTATTTATGCCACACAGTTTTTTCATTACTGAAACTTTTCAGAAAGTTTTGAATTTATAAAGTATGAGTCCTCTAATTTCATCCTTCCTTTCAAAAGATTGTTTTGGCCATTTGGGTCCCGGAAGGTACTACATGAATTTTAGGATGCATTTTTCTACTTCTGCAAAAAAAAAAAAAAAAAAATAGTTATCAGGATTTTGATAGAAACTGCATTGAATCTGGAGATTATTTGTAACAACAATAGTAAGTTTCTCAATCCATGAACATGGGATGTATTCCTATTTATTTATGTCTTCTTTAATTTTTCAGCAATTTTTATAGTTTTCAGTGTAGGAGACTTTAACTTATTGGTTAAGTCTATTCCTATACATTTTACTCTTTTTGATGCTATATAAATTGAATTGTTTTCTTAATTTCCTTTTGGGGAGTTTTATTGTTAGCATATAGAAATGTAACTGATTTTTTAAAAGAAAAAAATAGATCAATCTATTAATTTCCCTATACCTTGCACAATATGAACAGAATAGATGCATAAAAATTCAAGAAAAATTAAGAGGAAAATAATAAATCCAGAGAAGAGATAAGTCTATAGAAAAACTCACTTTGATTAACTTGGAAAGTGCCACAACGTTACCACTAAGCTTCTTAGAATCTATATTAACTATGAGATCTGACTTCATATCAAATGCAACTATCTTTTCCAAATAGAAGTCAGGGTCCAAGCAACCTGACTGAGTGAATATTCAGGGATATAAAACTGGATCATGGTTATAATTTGCTAGGATGCTGCCTTTTTTGTCATTGTTATTGTATTGTCATGCTCTGCCTGGAGGAAAAAAAAAATGGGATGGTTGCTATAGTGGTTATAGTAGAGTCAAGAGACAGATGACTTGGTCTCCAGCACCATCGAGTTATGGGAGGATAGGGAAAAAGAACTCCTAGTCAGGGCTATGAAGGTATTACATAGAAGGCCATATTGGTGACCAAACTAGTTCAAATCTATGCATATCAGTCAACTTTGCGCTTGATATTTTGTGGTTTTTCCCACTCAGAGACATGCTGAGCAGCAACTATGGCTCATGGAATATTAGCAGATCTCATTTTAAATACAGGGGTGGCACTCCTTTTTTAAATGTAGAAGTAGCAAGGTCTATGTGAATTAGTCACTTTTTCATGGTGCCAGAGTCCATGGAAACTTGACTTACAACCAGGAATCACACAGCTGGTTTCCATGTTTATTTTTGTTTCTTTGTTTTTTAATGTAAGCATTTATAGTTTGTATGGCTCCCAGTTCCCCTGTTTTCTATCTTTGTCCTGACTGAGAAAACAGAGTGCCTTGACCAAACTGAGTTGCTGTTCAAGGCCAGCTTTATGCCTTCTCCTACAGGCTTGGACACAAGCCAGGGCCTGGAAGGTGCCAAGGAACATTCCAAGACACTGATGAAGTTCTTTAAGTTGTTGCCCAAAACTGAAAGGTCAAACATCTTGCTAAAGACATAGAAAGTAGCCCTGGCCCTGAGCCAAATTCTTTAAACACTCTGTAAACCAACTCCCTCCTTATAGCCATACCCAGGTAGAACATCTTTTTTGCTATCCATCACAAGGACACCACAACTCTCATATGTAAATTTTCCTAACAAATGTTTTGGACGGTTATCTAGGGCTTCTTTCTTTGGAATCCCAGTTGGCTCTACCTCCGGGTGATGTGGGACAGTCCACTATAAGAACTCCTCAGCCACCACTTTTGGGGCAACACTGACCATTGGCTCCAAGGACAGAACGTAGCTATAAATTTCCCCCTGAACACTGCTTTTGCTGGGCCCCATGAGTTTTTGTGTAGTGTTTTCTTTGTTTTCACTCATCTCTAAGCATTTTCTAAATTCTCTTATGATTTCTTCATTTAGCCATTGGTTGTTTAAGAGTGTGTAGTTTAATTTCTGCAAATTTGTGAATTTTCCAGGTTTTCTCCTGTTAATGATACCTAAATTCATCCAATTATGGTTGGAAAAGGTGGTTTATCTTTTCAAATCTACTGAGATTTAATTTATAGCCTAAAATATGGTTCATCCTGGAAGATGTCCCATGTGCATGTGAAAAGAGTGTGTACTCTGTTTTTTGTTGATTAGTGTTCTGCATATGTTAGTTAGATCTAATTGGTTTATTGTGTTATTTAAGGTGTCTATATCCTTATTGATCTTCTGTCTGGTTGTTCTTTTCATTAATGAGAGTAGGATATTTAAAAATCCGACTATTATTATAGAATTGTTTCTTTAATTCTCTGTTTTTTCTTCATCTATTTTGAGGATCTGCTATTAGATGTGTAAATGTTTTTACTTTTTACATCTCCATTCTGAATTGAACCTTTTATTAATATGTAATATTCTTTGCTTCTTCTAAATTTTCTTGATTTAAGGTCTATTTTATCTGATATTAGTGTAGCCACCCTTACACCCCATTTGATTACTAACAGTCTACTTATGTCTTTGGATCTAAAGTGAGTCTCCTGGAGATGGCATCTAGTTGAATCATTTTTTTTTAATTCATTCTGCCAATCTCTGTCTTTTGATTGGAGAGTTTAATGTATTTATATTTAAAGTACTTATAAGGAGAAACTTATTCCATCATTTTGCTATTTTTTCTATATGCCTTATAGCTTTTATATCCCCAATTTCCTGCATTACTGTTTTGGTTTTTTTGGTTTTTTTTGGTTTTTGTTTGTTTGTTTGTTTGTTTTTGAGATTGAGTCTCACTCTGTCATCCAGGCTGGAGTACTGTGGCATAATCTCAGCTCATTGTAACCTCCGCCTCCTGGGTTCTAGTGATTCTTCTGCCTCAGCTTTCAGAGTAGCTAAGATTACAGGCTGATGCCAGCATACCAGGCTAATTGTTTTTTCCTATATTTTTAGTAGAGATAGATTTTACCATATTGGCCAGGCTGGTCTGGAACTCCTGACCTCAAGTGATCCACCTGTCTCAGCCTCCCAAAGTGCTGAGATTACAGATGTGAGCTACCACGCCCAGCCAGCATTACTATTTTCCTTTGTATTTAGTTGATTTTTTGTAGTAAAATATTTAAATTCCTTTCTCATTTTCTTTTGTAAATATTCTATAACTATTTCTTTGTAGTTATCAGACAGTACATTTAATATATTAATGTTATAATACTAATTTGAATTTATATCAACTTCAGTAACATAAAAAACTCTGCTCCTTTACAGCTCCATCACCACCCCTTTTAGTTGTTGATGTCACAAAATTACATCTTCATACACTATGTGCCCAAAACATAATTATTTTAAATGCATTAAAATTTTAAATTACGTAGAAAACAAAATGTAAAGTAACAAACTTTTGTTACGATACTATTAGCTTTTATAATTCCCTATGTATTTACCTTTATTGAGATCTTTACTTCTTATGGCATTAACTTATTGTCCAGTGTCTTTTCATTTCACCTAGTAGGACTTCCTTGAGCATTTCCTACAGGACAGGTCTATTGACAACAAACTCCATCAACTTTCATTTATCTGAGAATGTCTTAATTTCTTCTTCACTCTTGAAATGGTTTTACCAGATGCAAGATTCTTGTTTGACAGTTTTCTTTTTTTAACAGTTTTGAGGGTGGATGGTGAAAGGCTTTTCTTCTGGTTCAGCCCATTGCCTCTGGTTGCTGAAGTTTCTGATATCTGCTGATAATCTTGAGAGATTTTTTTTTAACGTGATCCATGGCTTCTGTCTTCCTGATTTCAAGATTCTCTCTCTGTCTTTGGCTTTTGCCAAATTTATAATAATATGTCTTGGTGTGGGTCTCTTTGAGTTCATTTTACTTAGAGTTCATTGGGCTCCTGGATGTTTCTATTAATCAAATTTGGAAAGTTTTCAATCATTATTTCTTCAAATTATCTCTCTGCCCTTTTCTTTCTTCTCCTTCTTGAATACCACAATGTATACATTAGTCCACTTGATGGTATTCCAAAGGTCCCTTAGGCTCTGTTTACATTTCCTTGATCTTTTTTCTTTTTTTGATCTTTTTTCTTTCTGTTCCTCGGACTAAATAATTGCCATTGTCCTACAGTAAAGTTAATTAATTGTTTCTTCTGCCTATTCAAATATGACTTTTTGTTTGTTTGTTTGAGATGGAGTCTTGCTGTGTCACCCAGGCTGGAGTGCCGTGGTGCAATCTCAGCTCACTGCAAGCTCTGCCTCCCAGGTTCACACCATTCTCCTGCCTCAGCCTCTCGAGTAGCTGGTACTACAGGTGGCCGCCACCACACCTGGCTAATTTTTTGTAATTTTAGTAGAGACAGGATTTCACCGTGTTAGCCAGAATGGTCTAGATCTCCTGACCTCGTGATCCACCTGCCTCAGCCTCCCAAAGTGCTGGGATTACAGGCGTGAGCTACCACGCCCAGCCTCAAACATGACTTTCAATCCTACTAGTTAATACTTTATTTCAGTTATTGTACTTTTCCACTCTAGAATTTTTTTGTTTCCCTTTAAAGTTTTCTACCTCTTATTGATATTTCCATTTTGTTTGTACATTTTCTTGACTTCCTCCACATCTCCCTTTAGTTTTTAAAGCATCGTTAAGACAATATTTTAAGGTATCTTTCTAGTATATCTGCCTTCATGTCTTTTTCAGTACAGTTTCCATTCATTTTTTTTCCTTTCATCCTTTGATGGGTCATACTTTCCTGTTTCCCTCTATGATTCTGAGTTTTATTAAAAACTGGACATTTGACTCCAATAAAGTGGTAATTCTGGAAATTATATTTTCCTCATTCTCCTAGGTTTGCTGCTGTTTGTTACTTTTTATTTATTGTTTTTGTTTTTTGGATTGCTGTCTCTGTGCTTAGGATCAGCCTGGGGTGTGATTCTTCTCAGGCATTTTCTGAGCCTGTGTCTTTCCCTGAGCATGTGTGGTTACTTTATAATTTTATTTATACATGCAGTTGTGTTTTAATGCCCTAATACTTAATGTATAAATCCCAAAAGAGGAAAATGAGAAAAATGAAGGATGGTGTGTAAAGGGAGCTAGTCTTTTAAAGCCCCTGTCACTTCAAACAGAGGGGCAGGGGCTCGTGCCATGCCAGGAGTTTAGGGGGCATGAAGAGTTTGGAAACACTGTAAATTAATTAGTAATTTAATTTAATTTAATTTGATAGCCTTTTCTCTGGCTCTTAGGCTATGTGCACCTCAGTGTAAATCAACAGAAGGGTTTGACTAATTGGTAAAGCAACATTTATTGCAATCTCTGGTTTGGGGATGAATGCGGAAAGGCTTTGCTTCTGGTTCAGCCTTACTCTGGAACAAGATATACATATGGCTCTACAGGTTAAACAAAGCCAAAACATCATGGTGGCCATGCTCCTTGGAGTTCCTGATTAATGAGAAGAGCATCTCATATTCTAATAATCCTCCAAATTGTGTGGCTCTAGAATTTTATTTCTAACTTCTTTATCCCCAACATCATTAAAACTGAATTATGGAAGCTATTATCCCAATGTCCTACAACAGGTCTGACAGCTATAATTGTGTAGCCCTTTAGGAAAAAAATAATCTTGGTAGGACTCTTAGAAGCATGGCTTGGAGGACTGCAGGTTTGCCATCTCCTCCATGGATGTGTAGTGGGATAGATGACTTGGCTGTTTACTCAAGGCAATATTTGTTATTAGGTAAGGTCAAGAATTGGCTACTGTCCTCAATTTGATGCCTTGCTGGAATATATGACTGCTCAAGAAATAATGATTATGTATGCCAGAATATGGGGAGTCTCTGAGTCCCAGATTAAGCTGTATGTGAACAAATGGTTGAATTCACTGGAACTGGAGTCTCATGCTGACAGGCTTATCAGCACCTACAGGTGAGTCACTATGCTACCGCTCTTTTCTGTTGATGCTGCTAACATTGAGGTGCTTCCTTTTGTTCTTGCTGTTTGAAATGAAGCTTACAGCTCCACCTAAGCTCCGCTTCCCACAATTACCTACTTGTGAAACTATCTAATGTTCTGCTAGGCTTCAGATGCCAGTAATAAGGCAAATCAATACAGTTCTACATCTTCCCTTTGCAGAGATGAAACGCAAAGTCTTTGTTCTATTTGAACTATATCCTCTGAACCTCAAAAAAAGGAGTGTCTTCTCTTTCTAGGGTCCCTGTAGTTCTTTGTCTACCAAGTAAGGAGGAATGTAGGCCCTTTGAATTATGATGTGATTTATGTGACTTGGAAACTGTAACACTCTAAGAACATGGGTAAATAAATGCCACTGATAATGCTGCCAAAATTTATTACATAAAAGTCACTCCTCTATATCTCAAATTTAAATGAATTGATATACACGTCTGTAATTGGGCCTGCTACCTAATCAAAGTCACATATAATCAGCATTGCGGACGTCCATGTTAAGTGTTTGCTGGGACGCTCAGCATTTGGGAAATTTGTACTAACTCTTTCCTATACATAACTGATATGTATAGCCATTTCTTCTCTCACTTTTTCTCTCCTTCTTTGGCCATGAAGTGAAGGAAACAAACGTAGGCTGAGTACTGCTATTGCCCTAATGGGAAGGTCTTCAGTCATCTTCCTGGATGAGCCATCAACTGGCATGGACCCAGTGGCCCGACGCCTGCTCTGGAACATAGTGACAAAGACACGCGAAAGTGGAAAAGCCATCGTTATAACCTCCCACAGGTGTGGCTCACTGGGCGGCTTGGTTGAGGGCTAGCGAGAGAGTTGTAGTGGCTATAAGAGGGAATTATTTAGGCCCAGTGGATAATATTGGACAGTAAACTTGCCTGAGTATGTTAGTTCCTCATTAGGAATTAGGATTCATGTTAATCCTAATAAATCAAATGACTAAAAATCCTCATTGAGTTTAACAAAAAAAGTGAGGAAAAGACAGGACTTCAGAAGATGCTCTATTTGAAAATTGGGCACTATGTTCTTTTTCATTTGAAAAATTCCCACTTCCCATCGATGAGTTTTATGATTGGAAAAATACAACTTCTGATTGAAAATAGGGTCACAAAATTCTGGCTCTGATTGAACTACACAGTGTCCTCCAAAAGAGAACTTTTTACTCTTACAACATTCTGCCCTTTTGTTTTGCAAGTATGGAGGAATGTGACGCCCTCTGTACCAGTCTAGCCATCATGGTGCAAGGGAAGTTCATGTGCTTGGGCAGCCCTCAGCATCTCAAGAACAAGTTTGGCAACATTTACATCCTGAAGGTCAAGGTCAAGACTAAAGATAAATTAGAGGATTTTAAACGTTTTGTTACAACAACATTTCCAGGTAAATTAGGTTGTGCTACCTTTGTCAGAAGTGTATTAAATCAGCCCAGTGCAGTGGTTCACACCTGTAATCCCAGCACTTTGGGAGGCTGAGGCGGGCAGGTCACTTGAGCTTAGGAGTTTGAGAAATGTGTTAAATCATGTCTGTTGTTCTCACCATCCATATGATTTATGTCTTCAATACCAGTTTTCTGTGAGTTATTGATAGGTATTGATTTTCTATAATGTTCCTTTGGCAACGTTTGATACTATAAGTCTCTTGTGGCAGATTATGCTAAGTTTCACAAAAAACAGAGGCTCTCACAAACTCTTACATCACCTAACAAGGCAGTTTTATGTTTATAAATTAGTTGGGTGCAGTAGCTCACACCTGTACTTCCAGCAACTTGGTAGGCTAAGTCCAGAGAACTGCTCGAGCCCCAGGGTTTAGGCTGCAATTAGCTATGATTGTGCTGTTGCACTCCAGTCTGGGTGACAGAGCAAGACCCCATCTCTAAAAAAATAATGATAATAAATAAAAACTAAAAATAAATTATATATCTAAAGTCCTATTTTAGCATAATTCTCAATTATTTTCACAGATTATTCATGTCAAATTTTAAGGTTTTTTCCTTCACACTACACATACAACTTTATGCTTTTACTGTCTGAGCTAGGATATGGTATTGAAATGCAAATAAGAACGTTGCCAAAGGAACATTATAGAAAATCAATACCTATCAATAACTCACAGAAAACTGGTATTGAAGACATAAATCATATGAATGGTGAGAACAACAAATACAATTTAACACATTTCTCAAGAACATATTTCTCTCCTTTCGAGAGTAGTTTGGTTTCTGAGTGCTGTTTCTTCATGCTAAATTCAGTAAGCACCTCTCTGCCTACATGGAACAGTACAAGAGAGACCATCCATTTCGATCTGTCTCTTATCTCTCTTTCCTTAACCTAAAGCGTGGGCATTGGCAAGGCTTTTAATAATTTTGGCTTTTCATCTTAGTTTCCACTTCGGTAGGCTGAGCAAAATACCACAGAAGGTCCTATTGTGTGTTAGGCTAAGGGGTTGAAAATTTGTCTCCTAGGCAATGGAAAATAGCAAAATTGATTACACAGTAAGAATGAAAATCAGGGTCAGGTACAGTGGCTCATGCTTGTAATCCCAGCACTTTGGGAGGCTGAGGTGGGTGGATCACCTGAGGTCAGGAGTTCAAGACCAGCCTGGTCAACATGATGAATCCCCATATCCATTAAAAATACAAAAATTAGCTGTACATGATGGCGTGCACCTGTGGTCTCAGCTACTCAGGAGGCTGAGGCAGGAGAATTACTTGAACTGGAGAGGTGGAGGTTCCAGTGAGCAGAGGTCATGCCATTGCACTTTAGCCTGGGTGACAGAGAGAGACTTCATCTCAAAAAAGCAAAAAGAAAAAATCAGAAAACAGATATGAAATGGATGGTCAAGCATATGTGAAGAACGAGCTGTGTGGAAAAATTATCACCCCGGTGTTGGTCATAGTGTTTATGGTGTGCCCTTGACACATGTAGATGGATATGTCCATTAAGAAGTTGAATATTCACTTATGCGTTTGTGTGGCAAATATTTTTGAGGACTTGTTGTGTCAGAGTTCGATTTGATATGATCAATAAATCACTTTAAGAAAGCTCTATAGGCTAAGGCACAGTGGCTCACACCTGTAATCCCAGTACTTTGGAAGGCCAAGGCGGGCAGATCACAAGGTTAGGAGTTTGAGACCAGCCTGGCCAATATGGTGAAACCCCATCTCTACTAAAAATAGAAAAATTAGCCAGACATGGTGGCGGGTGCCTGTAATCCCAGCTACTCGGGAGGCTGAGGCAGGAGAATTGCTTGAACTCGGAAGGTGGAGGTAGCGGTGAACTGAGATCGCGCCACTGGACTCCAGCCTGGGCAACAGAGCGAGACTCCATCTTAAAAACGAAAACAAAAAGCTCTGCACACTTCAAGATAATACAGAAAAACAATTCAACAAAATCAGATAAACAATAAATTACCCAGACTAGTAACTTAATAGAAACATTGAAATTTCTTCTTAAAAAAATCAAACAGAAATCATGGATATGTAATATACAGTGAATAAAATGAAAAATGCAGTAGAAAGCATTAACAGCCGAACTTATCAAGCAGACAAAACTATCTCAACTCAAATAGGCTTTTTGAAAATATACAGTCAGACAATTAAAAGAAAAATTAAGAGGAATGAAGAAAGCTCATGAGATTTATAGAACAGCATCAAAAGAGCAAGTGTTTACATTATTAGAGTTTATGAGGAAGAAGAAAAAACAAATTGTTAGACAGATTATTTAAAGAAATAAAAGCAGAAGATTTTCCAAATATTAAGAAAAACATAAATATCCAGGTACAAGAGGATCACATATCTGCATTCGGATTCAATACAAACAAGGCTACATCAAGACATTATAATTAAAAGGTCAAAAATCAAGCACAAAGAGAGGATCCTGAAAGCAGCAAGAGAAAAAACAAAAGCAAATAACATATAAGGGAGATTCCATAAGGCTAGCCTCAGATTTCTCAGCAGGGACCTCATGGGCAAGGAGAGAGTGGGATGACATGTTCAAATTACTGAAGAGGAAAAAACCTGCCAACCAAGATACTGTATCCAACACTATGTTGAATAAGAGTGGTGAGAGAGGACATCCTTGTTCTTGTGCCAGCTTTCAAGGGGAATGCTTCCAGCTTTTGCCCATTCAGTATGATATTGGTGGTGGGCTTGTCATATATGGCTCTTATGAGTTTGAGGTATGTCCCTTCAGTATCTAGTGTAATGAGAATTTTTAACCTGAAGGGATGTTGAATTTTATTGAAGGCATTTTCTGCATCTATTGAGTTAATCATGTAGTTTTTGTCTTTAGTTCTGTTTATGTGATGAATCACATTTATTGATTTGCATATGTTGAACCAGCCTTGCATCCCGGGGATGAAGCCAACTTGAACATGGTGGACAAGCATTTTGATGTGTGGGTGGATTCAGTTTGCCAGTATTTTATTGAGGATTTTTGTGTTGATTTTCATCAAGGATATTGGCCTGAAGTTTTCTTTTTTTGTTGTATCTCTGTCCGGTTTTGGTATCAGGATGATGCTGGCCTCATAGAATGAGTTAGGGAGGACTCCCTCCTTTGGTCACTAGCCTACATGTACCTGTAGGAGGTAGCTGGAGACCTCTATTGGAAGGTTTCACTCAGTCAGGAGGAAAGGGATCAGGGACCCACCCAAAGCAGCAGTCTGGCTGCTTTTCGGTATAGCAGGTGTGCTGTGTCGTGGGGGACCTTTCCTTGTTTGGACTGCCTGTATTCTTCAAAGTTGACAGGCTGAAGTGGCTGAGTTGACCAAACCACAGAGATGGCAGCTGCCCCTCCCCCAGGAACTTGGACCCATCTCAGGGAGACTCCAACTCACTGCCATTGGTTGGCTGGGATTCCAAGCCAGTAGGTCTTAACTTGTGACGTGATGTGGAAGTGGGGCCTACAGAATGTACTGCTTGGCTCCCTGGATTCAGCTTCCTTCCTAGGGATATGTACAGATGGACCTCCCACCTTGCCAAGGATACCAAGGCTGGAGTATATAAAACTCCTGGATCTCTGTGTATACCTGAGTGGATGCTCTGTCAAGACTTCGCACAGCTCTGTGTATCAGACCCAAGGCCCTGGTGGTGTGGGCTCACAAAGGGATCTCTTGAGCTGTGGGTTGCAAAGACCCATGGGAAAAGCATGGTTTCCTGGGCAGGGTCTCACAATCACTCACTGCTTCTCTTGGCTAGGGGTGGGGGTTCCTTTGGCTCCATGGGGCTCCTTGGTGGGCCATCTCCACCCCGTGCTCTTCCTTGTTCTCCATGGGTTGAGTTTTTAGCCAAGTTGGTCCCAGTGTGAGAACCTGGATATGTCAGCTGAAGGTGCTAAATTTACTCACTCCTCTCCATTCCTCTCCATGAGTACTGTGAACCACAGCCACTTCTAATAGGCTGTCTTGGATTGGGTCCCTCTGCAAACATAAGACTTTTAGAAGGCTCAGGTTTTTCACATTGGGCATGTCAGCTGATAATTTATTGTACCTCAAATCCTGCCTTCAATAATTGCTATGAACTCCACATAATAAGGTGATTTCATGAGGAATAAATCTGCTGAAAGCATTAACCATGTCATGGATACCAAAGAGAGTGGCTTAGCCGGTCATATCTCCTTTCACATTGACCTCCTCTATTCACCCCTCCACAGTATATAATTAAATGTAGTAATATTTTGGCAATTTCAAATGAAGCCTGTAAGATTATTCGCCTGTCCTATTTTCCTTTTTTAGGTAGTGTCTTAAAACATGAGAATCAAGGGATCCTTAACTACTACATTCCTAGCAAGGACAATCGCTGGGGAAAGGTGATAGTAGCAACCTTGCCCTTCTAACATTGCATGTTAAGAGAGCACTAACGATGGGGAGTATCTGGGATTTGGGAATGTGGAATGGGAAACTGGCATTGTTGGGGGAGTAGCACCATTAGGTTGCTTTTCAAACACCCCTAGAGTTCAATAGCTACAATTTCTTGTCCTGAATTCTATTATTACTCCATATCCATCAAGCAAATGGGTACAGAGAATGGCCTCCTCTCACTTTCTCAATTCTCTGTTCTTCCACCTTCTCACCTCTCCCTTCTGTACCTTCTGTCTTCCAACATACACTTGATAGGAATTGGGGGAATGGAGGAGAGGCTCATCTGAGTTGGGGGCTGAAGGGGAGATTGCAATGGTAACTGCGTTTTTGTTGCTGTTGTTAAAGGTGTTTGGCATTTTGGAGCAAGCTAAAGAGCAATTTGATTTAGAAGACTATTCCGTCAGTCAGATCACACTGGAACAAGTCTTCCTGACCTTTGCTAACCCAGAGAAAGTATCCAGTGATGATGAAAACGAGGTGCCATGAGATTCATTTACAACCAGTGACCCTCGTGTCTTTCATAGATGACACCTGGATGCATAGGGGGACCTTCCTGTGCATGTATATCTTGGTGTAAATATATTTACATAATAAAGATTTTCCCAAAGAAGAAAGTTTGTCCCCTTCATTGCAGATTTAGATGAGCAACCTGTGTATCCAGCATGCTCAAATCCGAAGACATTTGGTGAAATTCCTGTTTTCTCTCCTTGAGATATGAAAGAGCAGCATTTGTCAGGGTTGGGACAGGAACCTGTTCCTGAGGGTTCTGGACATTTGAACAGAAAGATCCAGTAATGATGGAGCTGTCAGATGGAACAGCCCAAAGAACAAGAGCTTTATGTTTTAGCAGTTGAGCTATGGATAAGAAGAGCATAAGGCCTGGATCACATCAGCTTTCCCATGGATACACACACACACACCACACACACATTCACACTCACAGGTGCAGATATACATGCACATACACATATATCTAATATAAATCATCAATGTTGGAGGGCTGAGTTGGGTTACTATTTCAAACATCCAAAATAAAGTTCATATGCTTCAGTTGAAAGAGAATTTTTGCACCAAGAACATTTGGGGTCCATGACCAGAAAAAAAAAAGATTATTTAAAAATAATGTGTTTTCTTTTCTACCATTGTCTCCCCTCTAATAAAGAAGAAAAGAAGAAGAAATAAAGTGAAGAGGGACACGGAGATACTTTCTTCTGATTATTGCCTAGGCAGATACTTGGAGTCCTCCATAAATAATATGAGAAATCTAATCACCTCTTCAGGATTCATAGACAACTGAGTAGAAAACTAGGATGGTTCTTGTAGAATTGCAAGATGAAGAGAGTCTATAAGGCTGCTCTATTTTGGGGTGACTTGTTCAATGTTTTCAAATCCTTACTTGGATATTGTTGATTATAAAGTGACATCCACCAGATGCTTACTGTTTTTTTTTTTTTTTTTTTTTTAGATAAAGAGGGAATTTGAGTTTGTTTCTATGAAGTGTCTAGGAGTATAAGAAGTCTCCAATTAAAACAAAATTGAATTTATAGCTCTTTCTCTGGTTCATAGGCTATGCTCACCTGAGTGTAAATCAACAGAGGGGTTTGACTAATTACTAAAGCAACACTCACTGCAGTCTGCAGGTTGGCAGTGTGGGGAAAGGCTTTGGTTCTGGTTCAGCCTTTATATGGACAAGA